TCGAAAAATTTATTAATGATTTGAACCCTACATTTGGAGGTTTATTTTTTCATCAACGTTGTGTATGCCACATTATTAATTTGATTGTAAAAGATGGATTAGAACATATAAAATTACCGTTAGATAAAATTAGGCAAGCAATTACTTTTATTACTATATCACCAGTAAGAAAGCAAGCATTTAACAGTTTATGTGCAGAATATGGTTTAGAAGAGAAATCATTTGTCACTGATGTATCACATAGATGGAACTCTACATATCTTATGTTACACTCGTGTGAAAATTATGATAAAGTTATTTCGATGTATTATAATGGTAGGCATACATATGGATCCGAACATAATTTGGAAGATTGAGAATGGAATCTTGCATTTGTCGTGAAAAATTTTTTTAAACCTTTTTTCGATGCCACCAGGGAATGTAGTGGTGTTTATTACCCAACATCTTCACTTGTTTTACAACATTTTTCTACTTTGCACAAGTATTTCAAAAATATATGAGTTTGTCAATTTTTGTTGATGTAGTTCATTCTAAGGAGTCAAAATTTCGAAAATATTGGGAAGAGATACCCTCTTTATTTTTATTAACTTCGTTGATGGGCCATCGACTCAATTTAACTGGCACAAAAGTTACTATAAAAGGGATTTCAAATTTCATGAATGTACAATTATCACATGTGCATATAGAATCAATGTTATGTGAAATGTATAACCATTATGCTGAAAAAGAAGGTCAGTGTAGTTCTACTTCTCAAAGTTCTTTTTCAAAAAACGCTTCAACAAATGCAGATAATATATATAGTTATTTAAAGACCAATACTAGTGTTCCATTATTTAGTTCTAATTCGTCAATATCTAGAGTAATAGATGTCAGTAGTACAAATCTTGAAATTCCCTCCGAGTTAGCTAGGTATATGTACGTTCGTAGTATGTTATAACCACAAGAATTACAGGAATTAGTCTTTTATCATGGTGGAGGTGTAACAAAAGGCAGTATCCAATTGTATCAAAAATTGCTCGCGATCTACTAACACCGTCGGTGTCTACAGTAGTATCGGAGGCTGCATTTAGTTTAGGTGGTCGAGTTTTATGTCACGAACGATCAAGACTAAAAGAAGATATATTGGAAGCTTTAATATATTTGAAGGACTGGAAATGTGCGGAATTAAGTTTTCAAGAACAAGTTGATAGTATAATGGCCGAAGAGTTACAGCAGATTAAAGGTTAAAGTATAAGATATTGTAAGTTTTTAAATTGTTTAGTTTCAAAAAATACATAATTTTTAATTTTTTTTAAGAAAAATTGTACACGAAATATTTTATTCGTGTACAATTTTAACTCCACTTACGATAATTGTAGCTGGTCTCAAGCCCAGATAAAGGAGGGGAGTTTTAAATTTTATAATTTCTTTAATTTATAACACGCATAAAATGTAGAAATTTTTTTTTAAAAAATGTAGATTAAATAAGAAGGATAAAAAAAAAACGACGAGCCGGCTCGACCTGCTAAGGCTCAGGCCGAGCCTAATTTTTTTTGGTCGGGCTCGGCTCCGCTAGGACCAAAAAAAGTTCGGTTCAAAAAAGTTCGGACTCGGCTCGAGCTTTTTTTCCCGGCTCGGGCTCGACTCGGATCGTTGACACCCCTACATACAATTCGTTAAAATATAGTAAAAGAACAAGAATCCTTTTATTACTTGACTTCTATAATAGTGTAAACTATGCATTAGGATTAGGCATGCTTTCTCACATTATATATGTAACACTTCTGCGTATTGTATCCAAGTAAGGATACAATCTCTCTCTCTCTCTCTCTCTCTCTCTGTCTCTCTCAAGGGCTGAACAGGAGCCAAAATTTTGTAACAATGGTGGTGAATTTCTCCAGGATGCCTTCGGCATCCTCAATTTTTGCAGTGTATGCCTCGTTATCGACATTTGTTATGCTGCTTCAAACTGTGTTGAATCAACTCATGCCCTATCAAGTGCAACATTATATTTGGTCCATAATTAAGCGATACCTAATGACTCTACCCTCTAATGCCACCGTAGTCATTGAAGAAAGGGATGGCGTGTCGAGCAACGAAGTGTACAATGCTGCTGAAATCTATCTGTCCACAAAGATTAGACAAAATATCGATCTCTTTAAGGTTTGCAAGCCTCATAATGACAACAATATCAGTGTGAAGTTTGCTCAACGTGAGAAAATAATCGATTTCTTTGAAGACATTGAGCTTCAGTGGATATATGTTTCCGAGGATAGAAAAACGAGTTACAAGGTAATTGATGAAGAGACTGACAATATTCTTTCCATATCCGAGAAAAAATACTTTGAGCTGAGTTTCGAGAAGAAGTACAAGGACAGGGTAATCGACCTTTACTTGCCTTTCATGCTTGAAAAGGCCAAGTCCATTCGAGCAGAAAGAAAGGTGGTCAAGTTGCATACTTTAGGAACTTATTCGTCCTCAAGTGTGTGGGATTCTGTTACCTTCCAACATCCTTCAACTTTTGACACCCTTGCAATGGATACGAAGATTAAGAAGAGTGTCATTGATGATTTGGACAGATTTGTCCGAAGGAAAGAGTTCTACAAGAAAGTGGGCAAAGCTTGGAAAAGGGGGTACTTGTTGTATGGCCCTCCAGGGACGGGCAAATCTAGCCTGGTTGCTGCAATGGCTAATTACCTCAAATTTGATGTTTATGACTTGGAGCTTACTAATATAAAGCGTGATTCGGATTTGAGAAGAATGTTACTGAGAACTGCAAATAGATCCATACTTGTGATTGAAGATATCGACTGCAGCGTGGAATTGCCGGATAGAAATGGGCCTACGTATGCATATGGACATGGACAGGCTCGTGATCTTCAGGTACGTCGAAAATCCAGTTACTCTTAGTCTGTTGACAGATGGTTGAGATCTTGATCCCCCTCGCCACCTTCTTTCTTGAATCATGCTAAATGCCTTTGTACACAATCTTTGAAATAATGTCATTATGTCACTGCATCCGTTAAATTTCTTCTGGCGAAGTGGCAAAATCCTTCTTTCTATGTGATTGTAGTATCAACTTGAGTAAATCAAGCCTATCAGACAAACAAAACCAACAAGATTATGATGGTGAATTATGTATTATTTCCCGAGCTTGTTCCAAATGATTCGTGCAAGCTTCTTTGTATTTTCATAAGACGATTCTTGTGAGATAGCTTTGTTTCGACGCACAGTAATGCAATATAGAATTTGATTTCTGAGACAGAAAATTCTCTATTTGTCTTGTAGTTCACACTCTCTGGACTACTGAACTTCATAGATGGCTTGTGGTCTAGCTGTGGGGATGAGCGGATTATCGTGTTCACTACCAACAACAGAGAAAAACTAGATCCAGCTTTGCTGCGCCCCGGGCGCATGGACATGCACATTCACATGTCTTATCTCACAGAAGATGGATTCAAGCTCTTGGCCTCCGCTTATCTTAGGATTCAGGGGTACCATCCGCGATTTGCGGAGATCAAAGAATCAATAGAGAGTATGGAAATTACTCCTGCAGAAGTTGCTGAAGAACTAATGAAGAGTGATGATCCCGATACTTCTCTTGAAGGTCTAGTTAATTTTTTAAAGTGCAAAAGGATCGAAAGCAGCCTAACGAAGGATAAAGGAATCGAAGTCCAGAATATAAAAAGACTTGCATCTGATGACAGTGATCTTGAAGGTTTGACAGACTAAAATTTATGTGAATTCAATTATGATTTGAAATTATAATTTGAAATTGTACTTCTTATTTAAAGATCGAAGACCCTATTTATTAAATAAAGAATGAGGTTGTATTTCTTAATATAAAACTATTTCTAGGATTTTGTCTCTCATTACAGGCTTTCTTCCATGTATTAGAGTGGTTGTACATGAAATAATTGGAGTGGAAGGAGCATAGCTTTTTATACTCCCTATTCGCTATTAATCACATCATAAAGCCCCAAAAGTCCTACTTTAGAATAAAATGGGTTTGTTCATAATAAAACACAAAGGTATTTTAGGGATTAAATTCTTATTGTGCTCTTATTCTTCATGATACTATCTTCAAGTACTCTTCGGTGTTCTTCAAGATGTAAAAGAATTGCAATAATTTTTACTTGTTATCACGACAATAAAAAAAATAATCAAAAGACATTAACAAACACATACACACACAAGGGACACGATGGCACACCTCTCCGGTCCCCTGCCACGTGTTCAGTACACATGACGGTTAGGTTGGCACATTATTTTCTAATTGAATTTAGTTACTTGGACTGAAGTCCTTTATCAATTATAACTCTTTACAATTTATCTCAATTCTTATTATTAAGCCATCGAAAGATCTTGATCGAATCTAGTTTCAATAAATTAATTTTAACTCGATCAACTCATCAAGACAAATTATTAATCTCGTTCTATTCCACTAATAACGAGATGCACTCGCAGTCTAATTGAAATAATTAAAACTGAATAATCAATAGTTATATTCTCTAACTTATCTCTTTTACATATTACCCACGACAATCATTTCAAATATTTAAAATTAGGTCAAAATGACCAAAAATCATTTTATATGTGATACTTTCATATGATCACATCACAATATTAATTGAACAATCAATGTCAAACTATTGAGCTTAGATTTAACTATTCACTAGAAACCTTTGAGGTCATGATCGCGCATTTTTAAGACTTGACATATTTCATGTTGCGAATATACGTTCCTTGTTATTTCACTTTCATTTCAAAGGAACCAAGGTATTGACTAGCAGCTTGATCTCAAGAATTGATACCTCAAAGAACTTCAAGTTAATAATCATAGTCCATTACTCTCTCAAAATTAATGTACTACCTATGAAAATTAATGCAATTAAATTTGTATGGTCAATGTCTTAAATTAAATTTCATGTGGTCCAATCCAGTATATTATAAAGTACTAGATGAGCTTTAATAAAATTGAGTTGAGTCAACCTTATGAAATTAAATTGTCCATCTTTATTTACCGATCGCAAACTGCAAAATTTTAGATCTAATTATAAATCAAATATTTTCATGATTAACAACTTAATCACTCAATTTATAATATCAAAACAATTTACTAACAAATGTACTCTCAAATTAATAAAAATTCATTTATCGAAAGATAAATTAATATTTTATTTCAAATGCCGTGAATACATATAAATTTACTAGATGCAAAAATATCATCTAACAAATCTCTCCCTTGACATAGAGTGAATGAGACATGATAAGAAAATGCATATTTTCAATATGCCTTTCAAAACTCTTAGCTGGTAAGCTCTTGATAAATAGGTCAGCAAGATTTTCTACAAATGCTAGCTTGCACACTGTGACTCTTCCAATTAAACAATTTTCCTAACCAAGTGCAACTACTTCATTGTTATCATAGTGTAAAGTAATAGGACGTGATGCATGAATCACCTTAAGGTCTAACAAAAACTTTCTAAGACACACCTTTACCTTAGCCATTTCACAAGCCCTCAAGGTGAAATCAACGATATATGACTCATGATGCTCATCTAAACAATGGACCTACTACTTCATGTGAACACTGATCCTGATATCTGCTTGCATCTTATCAGTTTAAAAATCAAAATCAACATAACCTTGTAGGGACCAAATTCGGAGTTAATTAAACTAGCATATACTCTAGTTGTGCAAAGATACTTGAATATATGCTTAATAGCTGTCAAGTGCCTTGGTCCTGATTCAGAAAAAGAAGAAGAAAGAAAGAGTAGAAGCATTAATTCGAAGCCACACGGAAGATATGACTAAGCACTTTAATGGCAAATGGGTCCAAAAAGAATTGACGACATCTTTTCATTTTATTTGTTATTTTATTGTTGATTTTAAGTTAACAAATTTAATTCCGTAAAACTCTTATAAATAAAAAAAAAATTGATTGTTTGTTACGATTTAGGGATCCAAATTCTGAAATTTTCCTCAGACCCCGCGAAACACTAGTACGGCCATGGTCCCTGAATTTGATTGATATCTATTGAAAATCCCAACAATATAGTAAATATCAAATCGTGAACACAGCAAAACAAATATGAGACTTCCTACAAGCGAGGCATAACATACTTGCTTCATGTATACCACTTCACAGTGAGTTCAGGGTACTTGTCCCATGATAAGTGAATTCCATGCCTGGAAAGAATAAGGCCTTTTTTGGATTTTTTACATAGAAAATATGTTGAAATTGAATAAAAGTTATAGTTTCGGGATCAAATTCCACACTTTAGGAATTGAAGGACTTGAATTATAATATAAGAAGGATATTGGTTGCACAATTGATGAACTCAAGGATTAAATTGCATTATTTGGGAAAGATGAAACTTTGAAGAGAGATATTACATTAAATGGGCCTCAACTTGGAATTTCAATGGAAATGGAACTCAGGTGGGCTTGGACCCCTTTTGGACTAGTGGCTGGCGGCTGAATTTTAAGGAAAAATACCACTTGGACTCATTTGTTCACTAGAAGATTGATGGCCAAATTTTGGAGCAAAAGGAGAAAGATACAGAATTTGGTTGAAAACTGATAGACGGGGCACGCAACGAATTAAGGACGGGCAGGAGCATATCTGGAAAATAATTTCAAATTTCTTTATGCAATAATTAATCAATATTTGTACAAGAAATTTGGGTATTAATCACGTCTCGTCAATTTATAGGTGACGTCCCTTAAATTATGAACCATGCTATGGGTACATAGAAGGACACATAGGGGTTCACATAATGTGAGTGGAGGTGGGGCCCATGCTACAGTACCATGGGTCCCACCCCACTCACATTATGTGAAACTTTATGTGTACTTCTATGTACAACAAGAATAACCCATAAATTATTAGTTTCTTTTTGACATTCAAACACGTTTTCAATTATTGAACGGTTTTCATAAAATTATCTTCTTTACAATTATGTACACAATGATTATATGAATATTGTGGCTTATTTTACCTTCTAAAGATAGAAAACAAGTTAGACATAATGTTAACTATCGTACAGTTCGATAGGTGATAGAAATGTATTGTTACGATTTATGCAATTTTTAAGTATTCATAAATTTTTAATGCATTCTTGTATGTTCGCATCTTTCACAGAAATATAGTCGCGTTACGTGCAAGAATATGTGTAATTCTACTCAAGAGAGACTGTTAAACAATTTAGGAATAATGATCTTCATAATTGAATCGTATTGTCAACTTGTGAGGTTAAAGTTAAAGGGGATTGATATAAGGGGATTCGGGATCCTAGTGCTCTTTCCATCAATACTTTTTCATCAAACTTGTATTAATCATGAATTGTATTAATTCTAGTTAATTTAAATATTGCCTTCATAGTAGATTACAATTTAATCATAGAAAAATAACAAGTTTTCATTGTTTTGGTTAAGGTGAAGATAATTTGAATTTAAGCTAGTACAATCTCTGTTAGTATATTTTACTATTTGTTAACGAATTGTGCACTTGCAATAATTCAAACGAAAAAATATTTTTGTGAGAAGTTTTTGGCGTCTTTGTTGGAGATTGTATTAGAGTTTAATTTCATTTATCATAGTACTAATTCGAAATTTTTGCTTTTATTTTATTTTTTTGTTGTCAATTTACTTCAGTGCTTCTATTTTTTCACTTTTAGGTATTTTATGTAAAATTCGGAAGACAATGAACTGATACCAGCTAATCTGTAAATCAAACATACTTTTCATCGTAGGCAAAGAGAATACATAGAGATGGTTACTGCACATTATAATCAGGTTATTCAAGTGAATGAATTGATAGTAGTCGATAAAGGGAATATGTTAGTTGGGGACTTCACAACTCCACAAATTATTTTTAGTCAATCTAGCATTGTTTATCCTCCCTTTGGGCAACCAAACTTTAAGCTGAAGACCAATGTCATCCATTTATTTCAGAATGTACATCAATTCTATGGTAGGGCTGATGAAAATCCACACACACACGTTTCCCCATTTTTGTAGATGTATCAACACTTAAATGTCAAGGGGCTTTAGATGATGCTATCAGGTTCAGATTATTCCCCCATACTCTACGAGATAGACTACTTGAATGGTTAGATTTACAACCTATTGCTGCATCATGTTGCGTTTTTTATATCTCAAGAGTACAATATCATAACAAGTAATATAATGTGCCTTTGAGTCTGGATATCGTTCTCACGAAAACTATACTTTAGGACTTAATCTAATTTTTCTAACTTATATTGGACAAAAGCAATTAAATTATTATGATTGCTGTAATTATTTTTCCTAACTACTTTTAACTAATGAAAAATATACAAAGATTGCAAATAACGGATAATTGAAGATTCAAATATGTGATGAATATTAGAGCATAACAATTTCATCCGTTGATCACCTTAATTTTTAATTCAAGATTCATAACCTAATGTGTGTTCAATCAAATTCTTCTATTGTATTCAATTTACACATCTCGAGTCCTCATTAAACTTAATTAACTAATTACATGTCACATCTCTATGCGAAACAATTTTAGTTAAACGATACACTAATTCTAAAAATTCATATTATGACCACAATAATTAGTATATATATCTCTACACACTAATACTAATTTACCAGATTTTACTGTATGGTCTAAATTTCAAACTCACATCTCAATTCGTAAGAGACTCACATAATCATCAAATTAGTGATCAAGTAATTCA